GTTATTTTTAGACGCTATAAAAAGCAGCCGGAGTCGCTTTCGCTCTATTCCCGCGCGGCGCCTCAGGAATATTCCCGCTCGGAGAAATGGCACCTGCCGGGGGGGGGTGGTGGTGGGGAGGGGGGTGTTGGTACCTCGTGGACCCCCGTGGTCCTCACCGTGATGTCGGTGAGCCCGTTTTTGGCTTGGGGGGTGTCACCAGGCACCCCGACACCCCCCTCCTCGGGCTTGTGTCCCCCCATCACGGCCCAGCCCGGGGCTGGAGGCGATGCCTTTGGCTCCGCCGCGTCTCTCGCGTGAATTTGCTGAGCTAAATATGTCTGAGCCGGTCTAGACAAGAGCTTACGGTGGCCGCTCCTCGGCCTGGCTGTCCCCGTGGCCCCACGTCCCTGTGTCCCCACGTCCCTGGCACCGGTGGGCACAGCCACTCACTTTATTAACCCCTTTCTGTGCCCGCGATGTCACCAGCCGGTGGGTGAATCCCTGAGGAATAACGTTTTCCTCCTTCCCCGGGCTGTGCCGGTCAGATACAGAGTGTGGGACACCCCGTTGTCCCAGCCGGTGGGTGGGTGACATCCAGGTGACAGAGAGGGGGGGAGGTGGCCCCCAAATCTCACCCCATCCTCCTTTTGTACCCCCCAGATTGATGAGATGCCAGAAGCCGCCGTTAAATCCGCCTCCAATAAATACCAGGTTTTCTTCTTCGGGACCCACGAAACGTGAGTGGGGACGAGGGACGGACCCCGCCTCGGGTGGGGGGTTGTGGAGAGGTGACCCCCCCTCACCCCACAGACTGCCATCCTTCACTGCTTTTCCCCCCCCTCCCAAGCAGGGCATTCCTGGGGCCCAAAGACCTTTTCCCCTACGAAGAATGCAAGGAGAAATTCGGGAAACCCAACAAGCGGAAAGGGTTCAGCGAAGGTTTGTGGGAGATCGAGAACAACCCCACCGTCAAAGCCTCCGGATACCAGGTGGGTGATGAGCCCCCGGGGTTGGGGTGAGAGGCAGGGGGGGGTCCCCAGCCACCTCTTTTCCCCTCTCTGAGTCCCCCTGTGTGTGTGTCCCCCCCAAAAACTTCCCCAGCCCACCCAGAAGAAGAGCTGCCCCGAGGACGCCGAGCCAGAGCGGGAGGTGGAAGGCGACGGGGAGAAGAAGGGTAACGCGGAGGGAAGCAGCGACGAGGAGGGAAAACTGGTGATCGACGAACAGTCCAAGGAGAAAAACGAGAAAGCCGGGATCAAGAGGAAAGCAGAAGATGCTTTGGAGGTAGCGGGATGATGGGGGGGGACATCGGGGACAATACCGGGCTGGGGGGTGAGTCCAGGGCTGGGCTGAGCCGAGCTCTCCCCACCCAGGACTCCCCCAAACGCCCCAAAGAGGCAGAGGGGCAAGAAGGGGAGAAGAAGGTAGATAACGAAGAGACCCCCAAGGAGGAACCCAAACCCAACCCGGGCGACGGGGAGAAGGAGAAGAACAGCGCCGCCGACGCCGCCATCCCGGCCGCCAACGAAGCCAAGCAGGAGAGCAAGGAGAAAGCGGGCGCGGAGGAGGTCAGAGACCACAAGGAGAGGTGAGGGGTCCCCAACAGCCAGGTGTCCCCCCCCTCCTCAAGGCACGGAGAAGGAGGAGAGGGGGGTCGCGGTGCTGTGGGGTGGCTGATTGAGCGTTTTTTGGGGGTCTTTTTGTTTTTTTTTCTGGGTTCCGCAGCCCGTAGCGGCCTCCCCGGCGAGCTGATCCTCCCGCCTGTCCCCCTCTCCCGTCCTCCTTCCTTACCTGCTGGGCTCCCCTTGGGTGCTGCCCCGGCTCCTCGGCTCCTCGGCGGCGCCGAAGCTCCGGAGAAGAGAAAAATGAAAAAAAATTCAAAAAAAGAAAAAACACCAAAAAAAAAAAGAAAAAAAATAATAATAAATAAAAAAAAAAAACAAACAAAAAAGAAAGAAATGAAGAGGAAACCCGGTAACACCGATCCCTGAACCGACCCGCCTCTCCCGGCCCCCCGCCGTTGCGGGGCGCATGCTTTGTATTAGTGATTTCTAGGGGGCTGATCAGTTGATTTGAAATAAAAGCGATTCATGCCTTTTTAAAAAAAAGCGCTTGCCCCGGCCTTTCCTGCTCCCCGCATCCCCCCACACCGGAGCTGGGCCTCTTAACCCCCAGTCTTGGCCATTTCGGGGTCCTTTTGGGCCATGGGGACCCCGCGTTGTCCCCCTGGGGTACCCCCTTGTCCCCCTGAGGCACCATTTTGTCCCCCCAGAGCTGGGAGGGGGGACAGAAGGGAAGATGGAAGGGGGTGGAGTGGAGCTGGGGAGAGAAGTGGCTGAAAGAGGGAAAAGGAAGGGGTTTGTTTAATAAAATAGGGAAAAAAACCCCACAATTCTGCCAGGGTGAGGGGTGGACATGAGGCGGGGGCTCACCCTGTGGCAGGGGGGCCTCAGGGACAGTGGGGACCCCCCCTCCGGGGTGGCAGGAGGACGGTGAGTAGAAAATGGAGCCCTGGCCGGCAGCCATGCCCCTGACACCGCCGCTCTGCAGCTCCCGGCCGCCCCGGCCGGGCGGTCGCTGCCACCGGGGGGGACCCGACCGGCCCCACGGAGCACCCCCCGGGGTCCCCCCCGCCGTCCCCCCAACTAGGCCCTGGGGAGGCTAGGCCTGAGGGGGTGTATGGAGGTGGGACTACAACTCCCGGCGTGCCCTCCGCCATCACCTGCCCGCCGTTCCCAGGGAGCGCCGCGCCGCGGACACAGCTCCCGGCGTGCCCCGCGGTGCCGCCCGGTGCGACTACAGCTCCCGGCGTGCACCGCGCCGCTCCCGACGTGCACCGCGGCAGCCCCCCCTCAGAGGAGCGGCGCGGGAGAGGCGGAGGTCAGCGGGGGGGGGCACACTGTGGAGGGGGCGCATTTTGGGGCTGAAGGGGGCGCATTTTGGGGGTG